GAAACATATTAACTTAGGGCTTTTAAATATTCATTTAATTTTCATTACTTTTTTGCAGATCTGGAAATCATGCAATTAAATTTCCCTAGTATTTCCAGGTTTTCCGTGACCGTGGGAACCCTGAAAGAGCTTGCTCTAACAGTGAACAAATACAGTCGTACAGAAGGAGTGTGATAGATGTGGTCACCGCAGGTTGTTTAAATAAGGTGGCAACCGGTTGTGACTGTGAGACAATTCTGAAATTCAGAAACTGGAATCGGTCACACTTGTTCTGTCTGATTTCACTTCAGATAGATGTGGTCTCTGCAGATCTCTCTCTTAATATTCATACTTCAACACATCTCCTTCATTATGCAGAGACATGAGAGACTTTTTAGCATTTGAATGCCTTCATTTGTCTTCATGTGTAAGACGGCAGACTTTGACACTTTCATGCATTAGAATGCTTTAGGTTAAGTTTTGTTGCAAATTTTTTTATGTAGTGTCACATGACGTTACTTACAAATCTGGTCTGCAGTTCTTAAAGTAGGTCTTGTTTTTTTAAAAGCTATTTTTACATTGACCCAAACTTAAAAGTCCAATGCTTGCTGTGGAACAGTCAAAAAAAAAGAAAGACACACAACACAACACCAGCCAGAGACTGAATGTAATAATGTGTATGACTGTACACTAACAGCAATGCTTTAAATTATAATATCAATATTATATTATATAAACATGCAACAAACTGTCTAACGATTTAAGCACAGAACAGAACAGAATAAAATAACAGAACAATAACTGATTAGTTTTTATTGGACAACTAGTTGACTATTGTGACTCAACCCTACTTTCAAAGAAAATTACACCTATTTTTAGTACCGACATTTTTTTTTATACAATCACATTATTTGCGTGGCAATTAAGCATGTTCCTTTCTAAAGTTCTCATTATTGTAAAAAAATGTCATGTTCAATAAGAACATACAAAACATGTCATGAATTTAATACCAAAATAACAATCATCTTGTCTCACAAAATTATTTGTTACCAGCATAAATTTAATTTAATACAACAAATAATACCACTGTAACATATTTTAATAAATATCTCATTATCAAGCACATTTATTCAACCCAAAACACTAAAGCCTTAGTAAAGGTTAATTCCATTGCAAACTAAAATAGAAGCAGGAAGTATTTTAACACATGCTGGCTGTTAAACAGAATCCCTTTTTTTTTTTTTACATTGAATGAAATTTCCTGGACCTCAGAGAATCTGACTCACTTCCTGACTGAAAATACATTGCATTAACATGATAACAATCAGCAGCACATTTACTTAAAAGTTAGTGGCAAGATAAAAAATATCCAGCTGAGGACACCATCACAATCACTAACTTAAAATGAACAAAACATAACCTGAACAAACACAGTGCATCTAAATGGAGTAGCCTGCACACATTAGCTGGAATGCTAATATTAAACAGCCTTACCTTACAATTGGTGTAGTCTTGAATTACACATCCTATGTGATTTGACATCTTTCTTGGTCCACTTTTCCACTTTCAAAACCATTGCAGCAGCTCCAGGCTGATTTCCAGGAAATTGTTTACCTTTTACTTCCGGGGTTTTCCCACCAGACCCCCACTTTCAATTTCAAAATGGTGGCTGCATGAAATCAGAGAATCATGGGGGAAAAAAGTTTCTTTATGTGAAATAATATTTCTCTCAACACTTTCTTTTGATTTTGGGATGAAATATGACCCATTTTGCTGAAGAAAAAAAAAGTTTAATCCAGCCAAAGCTAGTTTGATGGCCTTAGCTCAAGCTCCCACATGAAAAAATACCATAGTAATTTATAGTAAATACTATAGTGTTTTTGAACCATACTATAGTAAAGTACTTTATTTAATTAAGAATTAATTTGTTGTGGTAATTCTATAGTTGCTGTAACTATAGTAATATAAACAAATTACTTTACCCAAAACTGTACTAAGTTTGGTTGTAGGGTTGATTATACTACAATACACTACAGTTTACTGTAGTAAAAACTAAAGTATACTACAGTATTTATTATATATATAGTATATTCGTCTTTCGGATGAGACGTTAAACCGAGGTCCTGACTCTCTGTGGTCATTAAAAATCCCATTGGTATCCTGGCCAAATTCGCCCATTGGCCTCTGTCCATCATGGCCTCCTAACCATCCCCATATCTGCTGATTGGCTTCATCACTCTGTCTCCTCTCCACCAATACATTGGCGTGTGGTGGGCGTTCTGGCGCAATATGGCTGCCATCGCATCATTCAGGTGGATGCTGCACACTGGTGGTGGTTGAGGAGATTCCCCCCTTCTATGTAAAGCACTTTAAGTGCCCACAAAAGCGCTATATAAATGTAAGGAATTATTATTATTATTATTACAGTTTACTATAGTTAATACTACAATATGCTGTAGCATTCATTAACAATGTGTTGTAAATACTATAATACTGTATATACAGTATAATACACTTTACTATAGTATGGTTCAAAAACACTATAGAATTTACTATAAATTACTATGGTATTTTTTCATGGCCTAGGCCTAAACCAGCAGATCAGTCCAGTCTGACCAGGTTGAGAGACCAGCTTACACCAGCAAACCAGTTTCAGCTAGTTTAAGCTGTTTCCTTCAGCCTTGGCATCATGTTTTGACAGGTTTCAGGATTAGACAAACCCCTTCCTATCTACATCTCCCTCTTTTCTTGACTTTATTTACTGTCTGGAACTTCCAGCAGATTATCTGTTGTCATGGTGCTATCCAACCTGTGCAGGTATCATGTGTCCATGTGCTGGTGATGTATTTTAGCACAGGCCCTGTGTGCCGTCCAAACAATCTCTAGTCTTTAGACGCATTTAGACCCCACTATGTACACATTGCTCTCCACACCTGTCCTTTTAGGCTGTCATCAACTGAGTTCTTCCACAGCATTTATTATTAGCTCAGAGCTTTTAGCAAAAAAAAGTCTCACTTCTGTCATTTATCAGAACCTGTTGAAGTCAGAGTGACTGCCAAGCCTGTTTAAAGAAATAGTTCAACCAAAAATTTATATTCTGTCATCATTTACTCACCCTCATTTTTTTTTAAACTCATATGCTGTTTTTTTTTTCTTTGAACACAAAAGGGTACTTTTGAAGTAGCCATTTTCCATTAAGTTCATAGCGAAGATGTCTTGTCAAGCCTCAAAACGGACAAAAAAGAATATAAGCCTGTTTCTGCATTAAAAATACAATTATTTCTTAACGCACATGCGATTTTATAATTGTGACTTTGTGTCATATGAGAATTTGATAAACTGCAACTTTATATTTTGCAATTACAACTTTTAATCTCAGTTGCAACTTTATTTCATATAATGAAATAATAGTTTGCAACTTTATATCATATTATACAACTGCAACTGTATATCTCACAATGCAATATTGCACAATTGCAACTTTATTTCACACATTTATTTCACACTTTATATTGTGAAACTGCAACTTTACATTTCACAATTTCTGCTTTATATTGCACCTTATATTCTATTCATTCATATTACATTCACATTCTATATATTCATTCAATTACCTTTTTCATGTTTTACTCCGAGGTGGAAACAGGCTTACTTAAAAAAAAAAAAAAGAAGCAATACAATTCTTATTTTGTGTTCAACCGAAGAAAACATTAGCACACAGGTTTGGAAGAACAATTTTGGGGGAAATATTACTTTAGCCAACACATCAGCCATTGTGTGCATATTGATTGATTGTTTAATGCCAGTATTCCTGTATCTAGAGGCAGATTGGAAAGCACTGTGAAATGTCGTTTTTGTGCAGATCAGTCTGTATTCAATAGTTCAAAATGACCTATTCTGCTGAATTGGTGTGAGTGTGTCTGTGTTTTCTAGCGTGCGTCTATATCACTGGTGTTTTTTATGCTCATCAGCTTTTTATCCTCTGCATTGCAGCCACTCGGTCAATATTAAAACTGCTATCACAATGAAAAGTTGCAAAAATGGGGAACGATTGCCCTGGAGGCAAGGCTGACTGCATTTGGAAGAGTGGTTGCCTACAGCTCTCGTCTTTGGTTTGACCAGAATTTGAACCTTCGTTGTTCAGTCTCTTTGATTAGTCTCTCTTAGAGATGGAGCACCGATGGAAGTGGGTGGACCGTGAAGTCCCTTCAGCCCTGATCTTTCAACCCCCTATACTGCTTTACCTAAATCCATCGTGCCACTGAACATGGGGCCTCATTGCCATGACAACCTCACCAGGCATTAATAAAGGGCCCTGCGACCTTTACTGCAACCTTTAAGTACTAAGTTTTTCTCAACACTCTGAGGAATCGTAGAATCAGTGTACAATTCATACTCCATTCACACTGTTATTGCACAAACATACATATATCTCGTTTCACAATGCCAACCCTTTCTGCTGATTGTCAGTGCTTATCTGCGTAAGACAGTAGGATGTTTACAGTGCTCATCAGCACAAGTGACAAAGTAGTGCTGTCGTGTTTGCAATGGAACAATGCCGTGCATTCTATCATTCCAGATGACAATGTTCAACTTCCACGTCTGTTATTTCATTCCATGCCTAAACGCACACACTAACACACAGACAATTATGAATAGATGCACTTCCCATGAGAGAATTTCAGACCGGTTATATGTTGAAAAACCGCCGCATGAATATAATTCATTGGTGCTGTTGCGTCGAGTCGTGCCTTTTGTGCTTTCAGAATCTGCGAACACGTCTAATTTAAAATTAAGATGCATAACGTGCACATGTCTTGGGAGTAATCAAGACAAGACCTCAGCTGCCTACCCTCCCTCCCCATTTCTTGTTGCTCTGTTTCAGAGTCGAGATAATGCCCTGATGTTTGTGTATGCGCGCATGTCGCATTTGACAGTAATTTCTGCCGATGCTTCCCAGCCGCTCTGTTTGATGCCAGCCTGCCATCTAAAACATGATGTTCTTGTCTTGTATTTTCCAGGGAGCTGTGTGGAGACGGTTATAGGTCTGTACGGTGAGACCATCGAAGTGCCATGCAACAATGGAAATAACAAGCCAGATGGCCTTATTTTCACCAAATGGAAATACGTGAGTGCTTCTCTGAGCATCTGGGCCGTTACTCTGCCCTGCTAGCCAGTCTGGCTAGCCAACCAATATACAGCTACACTCATCGTCTTATTGATTTCTAATTTAATCTCTAAAGGTGCCAAAGGTGTGTTTTTCGGTTTGCTAACGGCCCTGTTATCTCATTCAGGTGAAAGATGATGGCTCTCCCGGCGATCTTCTCGTGAAGCAGGCTCAGAAAGATGAGGCCACCGTGTCCGCCACAGACGGCTACAAAAGTAGAGTTAGTATCGCCGCCAACTCCAGCCTTCTGATCACCCAAGGCTCACTGACTGACCAGAGAGTTTTCACCTGCATGGTGGTGTCATTAACCAACTTAAAGGAGCACTCCGTGGAAGTGAAAGTTTACAGTGAGTATTAATAAAACACACACACACAAAATATTAATAAATAAGAGCAAATCAGAGAGGAGAATAGGGGAAATCAAGCACAGCTTTAGTCTATGATGGAACCGAATGTAAGCATCAGATCTCAAATTGCACTGGAAAGTGGGTATGAAGATGTCATATATGGGAGAGAATAACATGGGTGATCCACTTTTGTAGCCTTGATCTAGTTGCATGCTTTTGGAATGGATAGCAGAGAAATGATATTGATATTGTGCACAGTGTTTCACCAAAGATTGGCTGTGCACGGAAATGGAATGTGCATACTAAGCAATATATACTGCATACTGTATATACACATGTCTCTCTGTCTATATATATATATATATATAGGTTTTATGTATATTATGTATTTTATATGTATATAAGTTTTAAAATGTGAAACCGTATGCAATTACAGCATTGAATTAAATTCAGTGAATGGCATACAGTTAACATTTAGGAGGTAAAGCGAGTTGTAATCCAATATTTTGTACAAATCTAATCTAAAATGAGTCAAAGAGGTTTTCTAGTGCATTTGTCACACTGGAAATGGAGGGCATTGCATTTTGGGATACATTATTAGTGACAGTGCGCTCAGGTTGTAACTATCATGCATATTTTGGCAAAGAAAGTAGGTGGTCTGGGCAGTTGGTATTTCAAGCACTTTGTTATATATGTAAAAATGTACTATGTATACAAAAATATTTAAAATATATATAAAATATATTTACTTTTATTTTCTTTGTAGAATCCATAGAAATTAACTGTCCAAGAATCCATATTTTAAAAAAAACGTAAACCTAATTACCCACATTCTATGCATACAAACATTTTGTTAACATTATTCATACATTCATGCTTTATCAAACATACCTACATATTGTTTTGATGCATTATCTCTTATTTCAGAAAAACCATCAGCCCCTGTAATCAAAAACAAAGCGAAAGAACTGGAAAACGGCAAACTGACGCAGGTGAGTCATGCTCTTTATACTTTTCCCTTTAAAGGGGTCATATGATGCTTTTTTTAAAGATCATTATTTTGTGTATTTGGTGTAAGAGAATATGTTGACATGCTTTAATGTTCAAAAAACACATTATTTTTCAAATACTGTACATTATTGTAGGTCCTCTATCCCCCACCTTTCTCAAATGCTTCGTTTTCTACAAAGTCCCACTCACACACCATCCATCAGAACGACGTGCTCTCACTCATACACACACTCACACTCTCTCTCTCTCTCTCTCTCTCTCTCTCATTCACACACACACACAATTCTCGGCATTTGAACAGTCAATAGCAAATACTTAAACTAATAACAAAACATACTTACAGTAGCTGATTCAGATGCGCCAGATTGTCATAGCAAAGTCAGAATTACCTCTTCTCCTAGGTTCACAAAACGGTCGTCCATAAAATGCATTGCTGTTCTGTTCTAAGTAATCTTAAAGATTCCTAAATGCATCTACTTTCGAAAGGCCAAATAAAGTGCTTTTGCTTTCGCCTAGAAGCACACAGCGTCTCCCTGACATGGCTGCTTCAATACTAACCGCGGTTACTGAAACTTTTCAGTAATTTGGGCGGCGTTATGCAAATCTTCCCACATAGTGATGTAGATATGTGGGGGCGTGTTAGAACGAGCCATTTTAGGGGGGCGTGGCAGAGTCTTAACTTTGATAAAGAATATCTCTTTGAGTTTGAGACTTTAGTCTTTGCAACTTCAGGGATCTTATCAATTCACAATCAGCTTGTAACACTCCAAAGAGAAAGGAAAACTTGAAATCGCGTCATATGACCCCTTTAAGACCCAGAGCTTCAGCTGCTGCTGTTGTTTCCCGTATCCAGTGTTTGCTCCAGTACTCAAACCAGCCAGTGTACTAACAATGTGCAGGATCAAACACTGTGCCTTTGTTTTCATTACCCAGCATGCCTCTCTTGTAGTCTCAACATTGACACACACCTTCTGTTATCACAGTCAGAGGCAGCTCAAAGACAGCGCTATTGATACGGACATCAGCGAACGCGACTGGGGCATACACACCTGATTTAGGCAGTGCTCGAGCGATTGTCAGCCATGGCTGCACAGGAAGCAACCACTTTTATGTATGTCAGTTGCATGAGAAAAGGAAGGAGCTTTGATTTGAACTATTTGGAGCACATACAAGGCTTCCCACGCAGTCCTTATGACTGGTATTTGTAAATGGAGCTGGGAGTCGTTATTTTTCATTTCCTCCCTCTATCGCTCTCTCTTTTTAATGTAGTTCAGAGGCGCTGTGAACTTAGAGTCTGGCTAAGGTGGAGGTGTGGAGTGGGGAAGGCTGGGGTTGTGTATACAGCATTATGGGTCTGTTTTTTTTTCCGTGGCCACCCACCGAGGTCTGTCGTGTTCAAAGTGCCGAAACTTAGAGGATGGGCAAGGAAGAAAGAGCACCGCCTATGAATATAAACCATTTAATACAGTTGAAATGCAAGGTGGCTGAAGGTCTCTGGAAAAAGAAAATTAGAAAGAGAGGGGTGAGCACATTTAAATAGGTGTGCCGATTTTACAAAAAACAGGGTGTAAATGGATTGTATTAACTAGTTTGTGTACATATTTCAGTGATTATAACAGCAGTATAAGCTGAAGGAGGGTCATATTGCTAACCAAAATTGGTTCTTTAAAATCTTTCAGGATTTATAGTGTACATTCTGAAGTCTGGATTGCAGAGATGTAGCTATTCTGTACAGCCACGGAAAATCATGTGAATCAGAAACATACGGCACGACCAGTGTAGTCTGTTTCTCAAATGTAGTATTTTAGTCTTTTAGAAGAGCCAGCTCATAAGAGTCATTCATTTGGTAATCATACTATAGTGATCATGCTGTGTAGTGTTTTGCACTCGGATGACTTTCATAAACTGGTTCTTTTAGTAAATCCAAAAAAAATTTAAATGCTTCTAAAAATTACTATTGTGAATCAGTCCGCTCTGGTCACACTGTGTTTTTGATTGACTAAAAGAATTGACTCATACGAGTCATTCATTTGGAAGTCAGACTACAATGGTTATGCTATGTAGTCAGTTTCATGAACAAATGTCTTGTTTTTTTATTTTGTTTTGTTTGTTACCTTTTTTTTGTGTGTGAAGCAATAACACATCATGGCCAGTATAATCCAACTGATTCTCAAAAGAATGACTGAATCAAAAACACAGCATAACAGGTGTCATAATAAAGGACTCTTTTGAGACTTTTTGTGTGTGTGTGTGCATGTTTATGTGGTTTATGAGGACACAAATTTGTATAATAACATGGATATGACATAGGTATTACAACGAGAAGGTGATTTATGAGGACATTTTCAGTGTCCCCGTAATTCAAAAGGCTTATAAATCATTCAGAATGAGTTTTTTTTGAAAATCTAAAAATGCAGAAAGTTTCCTGTAAGGGGTAGGTTTAGGGGTAGGGTTGGTGTAGGGCAATAGAAAATACGGTTTGTACAGTATAAAAACCATTACGCCTATGGAGAGTCCCCATAAACCATAAAAACAAACGTGTGTGTGTGTGAATCAAAAACATTAGATGACCAGTGTAGTCTGATTCTCGGACAAATTACTCTTATGAGTTGGTTCTTTTTAGGCTCTCTCACTGAATTATATGAAGCATTCCTCCGTCAGTAAAACAAAAAAGATACTTAAGAACACAGAGAACAAATAGCGCTGGATGAAGTGGATTAAATGCTAAATGCGGTACAAACAAGTAAAACAATTGTTTTACGTGCAAATAGAAACCTTTTACACTCTCTAGAGCGCAAACACAAATGTGTGTGTCTTTAAGTTAGAGGCATAGTTACAATAGTTGCATTCTCAAGAAAATTTGTAACATTAACATATAATGAACTGGAGGGTTGTGTTCCTTTTACACTCTCTAGAGCGCAAACACAAATGTGTGTGTCTTTAAGTTAGAGGCATAGTTACAATAGTTGCATTCTCAAGAAAATTTGTAACATTAACATATAATGAACTGGAGGGTTGTGTTTTTTTGGGGGGGGGGGGGGGATAAATAAAATGTCTGTGCGTACCCTCAGATGAAATCCTGCAGGCACCCCTGGGTATATGATATGCACTGATTTAAGGCTGTTTTTAAGGTTGCACTGATCTGAAACGTAAATCAGTGTGGTTACTGACTGGTTGTTCATAAAATGTTGTGTAGTTAAAGATTTAAGATTATATAAGATTATGTAAGATCATATGTTTTGTCAGTAGTATATGATTAAAAATAATGGAATTAAATATATTATAACATAATCCATAACATATATTATTGATTTTGTTTGTTTAGCATATATTTTAAATATATTTCTTACATTTTTATTTCTATATTTTTATTACACTTTTATGTGCCACAGAGTTGTTATTGTTAACTCAAACTAAAACTGTACAAATTTTCTTTAAAGCTGAAATAAAATAAGATATTAGATGAAAAACTTAAACATAAAAATTGACCTTGACAATTAAATTAAATTAAATAAGTTTAAAACCAAACTATTAAAATTAATAAAACTAAAATGGAATTAAAAAATAAATTAAAGCTAAAAAACTAAATGACAAAAGCACACCAAACTACTAAAATGTAAACTAAAATTAAAAAGAAAACTGGAAATATAGAAAGTAAAAACTAATACAAAATAATAATAAATGCTATAATAATAGTATATAAATAATAATAAAAATAACACTGTTTTTCAAGAATTGTTTGAATTGAGTTGTTTTCTCATCATTTGGCAGTGGAATTGCATTTCTTTTTTCCAATTCATTCCCATTACTTCTCTTCCTCAAAATTACTAAAGGAATCAGTAAGGAAACAGAATTGTTAAATTGGTTGCTAAAACAATGCGGAAAGCGTGTGTAAAGAAATGACCGCTATAAGCAGGCAGAATTCATTCTTCGTGAATCCCCCAGAGAGTCCAGGAAGGAAAGTGCTTAGTCACAGCTGCTCTGTTCCACGGCTCAGAGGAAGCTACAGGCTTCAGGCAACACTCTGCGCTTGAGAGGTGATGTATCATGGTCCGGCTCCTGAGGAGGGTCCAATGTGTTATCGGAGTTCGGAATCACGTTACGGCGATTTTCCCCACCCCATCTCCCCCTCGTTCGTGGTTTCTCTAAATCTTGGATTTCTCACGCCACCCTGAACACCTGAACTCATGCATCATCCCGCTGTCTGCTCTGCTCTCCTGCCATTATTACCCTTCTCTCTTTCTGCTGATTTCTCTATCCCGGGGCAGATAGCTCGTCAGCATGTGATCCTGTCAGCGTGTTATTAATGCAGAGCCTCTTCGGCCTCTGGCTGCGTTTATATGTTGGCCTCTGGCTACTCAACCAGAGAGAAGGAAAAGGGCGAGAGAAAGAAAGTGAGGAAATGGAAGACCTGTATCACAACTGTAGAGTTAAAACCCCACCCACTTTAGCTCATACAAATGATGTCAGTGTTTATATCAGAGTATCTTCCCTGGGCCACCTCGGGACTTACCCACTACAAGGGCAGCAGCAGTGGGATAAAAGTACCTTGAGTACTTGGGTCATGAACCAACATTAGGGAAAGTCCCAAGAAAAGTGTCCCAAAGTCACATGCAAATACACACTTAAATTGTGTTGAATGAAATGACACATCATGTGACAATCTAAGGTGATACTATGTGTCACGAGTCTATAAATAGATATGTAAGACAGGCGAAACCGAAAGTGTTTGAGTATCGCAGACTTGAACGTCATATAAATTCCCGCTGATGAGAGGTTGTGATATAGTCACTAAAGCAGATGTGCTGTTTTTTTCTCTGTGTATGTGTGTGTTTGTGTGTTAGTTGGGGGAATGTGTAGCGGAGAGTGCCAACCCAGCAGCATATCTCATCTGGATGAAGAACAATCAGCCCCTAGTGGATGACGGCAAAAGTGAGTCCATAACAGAGTCATTACATGAAAGGAAAAACATTAAATCAAGTGCACTAAACACACAAATCTGATATATATATGGCTTTGTAAGCTTAAATATATTGGTTTAAAATCATTAAAAATGTCAAAGAAATAATACTTTTTAATTTGTGGCATGATAAATTGTGGGTTCGTTTTTCAATTCACACTAGACCAAACATATTAATATAAATCCTTAATTTTAATCAAATTAATTCCCCCTCACATCATTTATTTACCTCAGAATAATGGTGAACTGTCGTTTTAAATGACATAATGAACAGGAAGTGACATAATTTGAGCTTTGACAAGCCAAGTTCAAAGGTTCTACTCTTATTTAACATTCAGCATTTTTTTTCTTGCTTGATAATATTTGTTAATATATCTAGCCCATCAAGTAAAGTAAAATTTGTTTATATA